GAGCTACGTGGAAGACGCATCAGAGGGACACAGGTGCAGGTGGGACACAAGTTAGAAAGAAAGTTGGCTGAAACGTGCCAGACCCTGAACCAAGGCAGTGGCTACAGGAGGCAGAAATATTTAAAAGGTATGACCAGGACGGGCGTTGTACTGCCACAGGTTGAGCCACCTCTCGGGATAGCCACAGCCCAGATGAATCAGTGGATGGAAAATCTCTGTCTCTCCCTCTCTATCTACTCTGCTTTTCTATTTATTTATTTGAAAGGCAGAGTTACACAGAGAGAGAAGGAGAGGGAGAGGCAGAGAGGTCTTCCCTCTGCTGGTTCATTCCCCAGATGGCCGCAATGGCCAGAGCCGCGCCAATCCGAAGACAGAAGCCAGGAGCTTCCTTCAGGTCTCCCATGTGGGTGCAGGGGCCCAAGGACTTGAGCCATCTTCTACTGCTTTCCCAGGCCATAGCAGAGAGCTGGATCAGAAGAGAAGCAGCCAGGACTCGAACTAGCGCCCATATGGGATGCCGGCACTGCAGGCGGCCACTTTATCCACTACACCACAGCGCCAGCCTCCAAATAAATAAATAATTTTATAAAAAATAAATAAAACAGGCTGGCACCGTGGCTCAATAGGCTAATCCTCCGCCTTGCGGCGCCGGCACACCGGGTTCTAGTCCCGGTCGGGGTGCCGGATTCTGTCCCGGTTGCCCCTCTTCCAGGCCAGCTCTCTGCTGTGGCCCGGGAGTGCAGTGGAGGATGGCCCAAGTCCTTGGGCCCTGCACCCCATGGGAGACCAGGAGAAGCACCTGGCTCCTGCCTTCGGATCAGCGCAGTGCGCTGGCCGCAGCGGCAGCCACTAGGGGGTGAACCAACAGAAAAGGAAGACCTTTCTCTCTCTCTCTCTCTCTCTCTCTCTCTCTCTCTCTCTCACTGTCCACTCTGCCTGTCAAAATAAATAAAGTTCAGACTTTTGAGTCAGCAAGACCAAAGTGTGACTCCCAACTCTGCCCTGTATTCCCTGTGTAACTTTGGGCCGGCATCCCGTATCAGCACCAGCTTGTGTCCCAGCTGCTCCACTTCCAATCCAGCTCTCTGCTAATGGCCTGGGAAAGCAGCAGCAGATGGCCCAAGTGTTTGGGCCCCTGCACCCATGTGGGAGACCCGGCTCCTGGCTCCTGATGTCTGCCTGACCTAATCCTGGATGTTGTGGCCATTTGGGGAGTGAACCAGCAGATGGAAGATCTCTCTCTCTCTCTCTCTGTAACTCTGACCTTCAAATAAATAAACAAATCTTCAAAAAAAAAAAAATACTCAATTTCCTCACTTGGGAAATCGGGAACACAGCAAAGCTTCCCTTACAGCTGTTGAAAAGACAGAATAGCATCAAAAAAAAAAAAAAAAAAAATGACACAGCCAGAGGCAGAGCACTCAGGGAATGTATGGGAAATGAGAGCTGCCACCTTGGCCTCAGGAACTGGACTCAAGAATCACACGTTGGCCGGCACCGCGGCTCACTAGGCTAATCCTCTGCCTTGCGGCGCCGGCACACCGGGTTCTAGTCCTGGTTGGGGTGCCGGCACACCGGGTTCTAGTCCTGGTTGGGGTGCCGGCACACCGGGTTCTTATCCCGGTTGCCCCTCTTCCAGGCCAGCTCTCTGCTGTGGCCCGGGAGTGCAGTGGAGGATGGCCCAAGTGCTTGGGCCCTGCACCCCATGGGAGACCAGGAGAAGCATCTGGCTCCTGCCTTCAGATCAGTGTGGTATGCCGGCCACGGCGGCCATTGGAGGGTGAACCAACGGCAAAGGAAGACCTTTCTCTCTGTCTCTCACTGTCCACTCTGCCCGTCAAAAAAAAAAAAAAAAAAAAAGAATCACACGCGCGTCCCGAGAGACCAAACAGTGCCCACAGACCCCAGGCTTTCTGGCCTGCTGCTCCTAACACACAGCAGAACCAGGAGAAGGGTAGGCTGGGAGGGGGGCCCAGAAGAGGAGGTGCTTATTGGTTGAGCGTGAAGCGCCCCCTGCAGGAAGTCCCTGGGCACTGCCACATCTTGCTGTGCGTGGCAAGAAAGCCAGACCCTGGGGTCTTTTCACCTGGGCCACTTTTCAGCATTCTTTGTCGTGAGCAGCCGTGAAGGTCTCCCACTCGAACAAACAGCAGGCTTGCTCACTGGCTCCTGCAGGAGCACTGGCTTCCCCCGGCTCGGTGTTCCCGAGCTATGACGCGAACCGGCTGCATGCGGAGCCTCCAGGTGGGCCCAGCACACGCCCCACCCCCACCCCCACCCCCCAGCAGCAGCCTGGAGGCCAGGGGAAGTGAGGCCGATATGCTGATGCTCATGCTGCATGCTGAGCCCTGAGTAATCAAATCCTGAGCCTCTGACCCCGCAGGCTCGTGTCTCCAGCCAGCATCCATGAATCAGTGACAGGTTAATGTACTGGCTTACAGGTCGGGAGCAGGCTTGGAGTCGTTAGGGCGGGGGGGGGGGGGGGGGGAGCCGTGAGGGTGAATAGCATTGCCTAGGGAGAGGCTGTGGGAGTGTTCTGGGATAGCCCAACAAGGAGAGGATGGGGTGGGAAAAGGAATTCGCGGGGGGAACTCCAGAAAGAAACCTAGAGAAGAGCCGTGCCCACCACCAAGCCCAGGGAACACAGTTGCAATCAAACCCGAGCTGGCAGCAGGGTCAGGTGCTGCTTCAAAGTCAAGTCCGATGAAGACTGAAAGCGGCCACCGAAATCAGCAAGTAGGTCACTGGCAAGGGGCATTTCAATGACACGGTTGGGGACAGAAGCCAGGGTGAAGTGGTGAGGGATGAATGTAGGTAAGGCAGTAGCAGGGGTGCGTATCTGGTGCGCTCCTGTCTGAACACAGCTTGGGACACCTGTGTCCCATATGGGAGTGCCCGGGCTTGGGTGCACCCCAGGAGGCAGCAGGCGATGGCTCAAGTAGTTGTGACCCTGCCATCCACGTGAGAGACCTGAATAAGGTTCCCGGCTCTGCGCTCTGGTCTGGCCCAGCCTTGGCTCATGTGGGCATTTGAGGAACGAACAAGCACATAGGAAGATCTCTGTCTGTCTGTCTGTGTCTGTCCCTCTGCCTTTCTAAACAAATGAAAATAAATCTTTAAAACCCAGCAACAGGGGACCAGCGCTGTGGCGCGGCAGGTTAACACCCAGGCCTGCAGTGCTGGCATTCCATATGGGCGCCAGTTCGAGACCTGGATGTTCCACTTCCGATCCAGCTCTCTGCTATGCCTGGGAAAGCAGTAGAGGATGGCCCAAGTCCTTGGGCCCCTGCATCCGTGTGGGAGATCTGAAAGAAACTCCTGGCTCCTGGCTTCGGATCAGCACAGCTCCAGCCGTTGCGGCCAATTGGGGAGTGACCCATCAGATGGAAGACCTCTCTCTCTCTCTCTCTTTCTCCCTCTCTGCCTCTCCTCTCTCTGTGTAACTCTGCCTTGCAAATAAATAAATCTTAAAAAAAAAAGAAGCAACAAATGAATTTTTTTTTAAATTTACTTGAAAGGCAGAGAGACAGAGACATCTACCTAAGGTTGCAACAGCCAGGGCAAACAGGGAACTCATGAGTGACAAGGACCCAAGTACTTGAACCTCACCACTGCCCTCAGAATGTGCGTGAGCAGGGATTTGGAATAGGAAGCGGAGCGGGGACTCCATTCCAGGCATCCCAATCAGCATCGTAACCACTGTGCCACACATCCACCCCTACCATCCCACTCCTTGACCAAGTGCTTTATCCCAACAAGGCAAAGGACGGACCAGGACTCCAGAGGCTACGGACCTGCCTGGCACTCAGCACTCCAGGACTGGGGATCCGGCTCTCCTGTCCCTGCAGCCCGAGTTCTTTTTTTTTTTTTTTTTTTTGACAGACAGAGTGGACAGTGAGAGAGAGAGAGAGACAGAGAAAGGTCTTCCTTTTGCCGTTGGTTCACCCTCCAATGGCCGCCACGGCCACCGTGCTGCGGCCGGCGCACCGCGCTGATCCGAAGGCAGGAGCCAGGTGCTTCTCCTGGTCTCCCATGGGGTGCAGGGCCCAAGCACTTGGCAGCCCAAGTTCTAATGCCCTAACGAGGCACGGGCCAGAGTTAGAGAGCTGGCACCATGATGTTCCACCTGCCAATCCCACCAAGCCCAGGGCAGCCACCTCGGCCTACCAGGGTGAACAACTGTGCCTTGGCCTGGGGTCTGGCAGGCCCCTGGAGAGCTTCCCAAGCAACCACCAGTCTCCTGGGTCTGGGCCTGGCAGAGCAAGGAGGGAGACAGCCAGCAGGAGACAGCAGCAGGCCCCTTCTCCATCCAGGACTGTGAGAGTAAGAACAGGAGAAAACAGCTTTTCATACCTGTCTGGTGCAGACGCTCGGGGCACCTGAGAGCAGGCACAGATCCTCACCAGCAAAAGGGCATGAACCGCAGTTTTGGGGTTCACACACCAACCACACCCCAGGCTTCCCCAATGGACCAGGTCTCAAAACAAAAAAAAAAGCGTGCACCCGAATCACCCGTGATGCTGGCTACCACGGCAGATCTGCAGATCCCAGGGAGGCGATTTCCCACCCCGTTTTGTTTTTCTGTTTTCCATCCATTGCCTTGGATGACTCGGGCGTGGACGCTGCCTGGGGAAATCCGACCCTGAGACGAGGGACGCTGCCCCCAGCCAGGCGCCAAACTTCCCCCTCCCCCGCCAGGCGCATCGGGCACGTCCCCTCGCCTCCGCGGGCCTGACCCCTCCGGGGAGCCCGGTGAGACCAGCCAAGGCCCCTGGGGCCTGGCCGCCCGCCGCGCCGCCGGGAGGCGCAGTGCGGTGGCCGGCAGGGGGCGCGGCGCCGGGGAGGCCCCCGGCCCGGAGCCGAGGGGCGGGAGCCGGCGGCGGCGGCGGCGGCGCGGAGCCGGGCGCGGGGGCGGGAGCCGGGGGCGGGGCGGGCCGGCCGGGGCGGGGCGGCGGGCTGGCGGCGAGCGCCCGGGGAGCGCGCCCGGGAGCGGGGAGGGAGGAGCGCGGGGAGCGCGGGCCGCCGGCCGCCCCCGCCCCCGCGCCGCCCGCGCGCAACAGTTCCCCCAAAGTTGCAGCCCGGGAGGCGGGCGCGCCCGGGGCGCAGCCGGCCGGGGCCGCGGCCTCGGGCCCAGCGCGGAGAGTCGCGGCGGGCGGCGGCGGCATGGGCACCCGGCAGACCAAGGGCAGCCTGGCGGAGAGAGCCAGCCCCGGCGCGGCGCCCGGCCCTCGCCGCGAACGGCCGGACTTCTGGGCGTCGCTGCTGCTGCGCGCCGGGGACAAGGCGGGGCGCGCGGGCGCCGGCGCGGGGCTGCCCCCCTACCATCGGCGCGTCGGCATGGTCCAGGAGCTGCTGCGGATGGTGCGCCAGGGCCGGCGGGAGGAGGCGGGGACGCTGCTGCAGCACCTGCGCCAGGTGAGCGCGAGCAGGGGACAGGGGGAGGGGGGCGCGCCGGGGCGCGGGAGAGCCCCGCCCCTTGCCCGGGAGGCTGGGGAGCGCTGAGGGGCACCGCCCAGGACCCCCTTCCGCGGGGGATGGATGGAGCCCTGTCTGGCGGCAGGTGCCTCGGCGCTCCCGCTGAGTCTTGGGCCTCGGGGCAGGGCGGAGGAAGGCTGGCCCGGTGAGGCCCGCTGTGAGGGGGACCTGTTGGAATAATGTCGCCGCTCCTGCCCTCCGCTGGCCGTGGAGGCTGGTCTCCAGGGCTGGTTGGTGGGAGGGGACACAGGGATGCACGCCCGGGCTGGGCAGAGCCCTCTCTTGTCTTCCTGTCCACACTGGCAGCCACCACCCCTTGCCAAGGGTCCTCAATGAATGCGCAGTAGTCGGCGCCCGGAGGAGAAGTCCAAGGACGCGGCCCTGGGGCTAGTGAGCCGCCAGGCCAGGCCCTAGGTCATCAGTGCTCTGCTCGCCTGGGAGGTGCCCTGGGGGCAGTGGCTGCAAAAGGAGACTGAGTGTCCCCTCCCCTAACTTTGGCAGGTCCTCAGCCATGAGCACCTGCCCCAAGCCTGCGGAGAGGGCTGTAGGGTTTGGTCTCCCAGCCTGCAGGAACTTGGGTCCTCCACCGATCGCCCGTGCCTTGTCCCTCTGGTCTAGGGACAGACTGTGCGGGGCAAGCTGAGGCTGTCCCCCACCTCCTTTCTTATCTCAGTTTCTTTGGGGGGTGGGGGCTGGCCTGTGCTGTGGATTTTGGTTGAGTGGGAGAAAAGCAGGAGGGCACACAAAGGTTTCTACCTGCAGCATTGCCAAACAGGTTGGCTTGGCCTGGGCTTCTGGGCAAGACAAACCCAGGCCCCACCGTCTGGGTGGATTGACCCTGTGGTTAGTGGCGCACTCTATGGGGGGAGGGGGAGGGGAAGCCTCAGCTGACCTCTCTGAGTTTTCCCATAACTGATGGAAGAGGCTGTTGGAGTGTCTTCCTGGGAGGAGCTTCCAAAAATCTAAGGGGACCCACATCCCTCCCCGCTGCTGCTGTCACCCTGGAGAACGGGTTCCCAAGGCTTGCGCGGCACAGGGAGAGGGAAGGCCCTGGTGCCTGAGATGCGGTGCTGGGGCCCCAGGTGCTGTCTGTGACTGAATCGTCAGCGAGAAGATGGCATCATGCTGCATACACGGTGTGTATTTCTCTTTGTCTTTAGAAAATTGGAGACCGACACACACGCGGTCTTCTCTTCTACTGCTTTTTTCCTTTTTTTTTTGGCTTTCGAATGGGATAATGGGTTTTCCAGAGCCTCATCTCCCATTTGCACACTAGGCAGACACTGATGATCACATGCTGCTCCCCTGGCCCTGGGAGGAGCTCTGGGCAGGGGGGCATACAGCACACTGAGGGGAGAGCACACCTTCTAGGAGCACGAAAGAGCAAAAATGAAGCTGGCATTTTCTAGGGCCAGCCGCAGGCCTGCGGGAGACAGACCCCTGGGGCTCCCCAGGATGAGACCACGTCCTGGGAAACTGAGGCAGGGAGCATTTCCTCCGCCTATGAGCCCTGGTGTCCCAGCACCCTGCTCACTGCAAGGCTGGAGGGGGCTATCAGACTCCCCGCTTTTCTGTGGCTCCCTTGACCCCTGGCTGGTGAGTGGGGCCTGTGGACCTGAAGTGGAGAGATCAAGCCCCCTCCCGCACGCAACCTCCCCCACCCTGTTCCCCCTGGAAATGGTCATGAGTCCCAGGCCTTGCGGAAGGGGACCCCAGAGGGTTGCAGAGGTCCGTGACAGAGAGGTGGTTGTCTAGGACCCTGAGGCCTACTGGAGGGAGGTCAGGCTGGATCTGTGCTGTGCCCTAAAGTGCCTCCTTCTCCCAAATGCTGTCTTCCTCTCCTGTTTCCTCTCCCCGTCAGGAAGTGACAAGAGCAGTCAGTGCAAGAGGTGAAAACACTCAGGGCCCCCCCCCCAGCCCAGTCCACCCGGCAGGCAGAGGCAGGGGGTGTGTAGGTACACCAGGCTCAGTCCCTGTTGTCTGGGACCCCAGGGAGGGGCAGGGCCAGGGAGTGGTCCCAGCCTGGATGGTAAGAGCCATCTCCTAGGCATAGCCCATGGGGATGTTCCATACCTTCACTGGCTGCCGAGTTTGTGGGTGCCCAGAGCCACGGCTTACAGGGAAGCTGGGATCCCTTAAAAATTCCTCTTGGAGTCCTTGATCTTTCTGAGGCCCTGAAAAGGCTGCACACATCTCTCTAAGACAAAGACACCTGCACACACGTGCACACACATGCACACACACATGCACACACACGATCTTGCAAGGGATCTTAGAGGGCACACAGAGCCCCTGAAACCTGCGACAGAGTCCAAGCAGAGTCCCTGCCGCAGTCTGATACTGCCCCTTCCCCCGGCCATGTGACCTGCTCTGGGCTTGGGGTGCAAACAGGGGCCCCCGGGACCGTAGTGAGTGGCGATTCACAGGAGGCGGAGGGATTGGGCAGCCAGTGCTGCTGCATCTAGGATATGTGGGGGCGTGTTCTTGGTGGGAGATTCTGGCTTGCTGGAGAGGGCTCAGGTCCTGTAGCTGCCCCCCCAGGAATGCAGAGCCACCCCCTTCCCCTTAGGAGCCGTGGCGTCTGAGAGGAGAACGTGGCAGCGTTGCCTTCCAGTCCTCCTCTGTGTGCTGTGGCCTTGGACCCAGCAGATAGCCTCCAGGGATCTGGGCTGTGGAGCAGAGCAAGTGCTACAAAGTGTGTGAAATCGGGTAGGCGCTGCCAGTCAAGACAGGTTCTCTCTGGGAGACCGAGATAAGAAATCAGAGAATCGGTCCTAGGTAGGATCTGGCTCTCCTCTGGACGGTTCGTGGTGTCCTTTCTCAGTCACAGCCCAAGGAGTTTTGCGTTCTGGCTGCCTGGCCTGGGCGCAGTGTGGGTCGAAAGCTTCCTGTAAATCCAGGTGGAGTCTGCGGCAGGTGCCATGGGGGGCAAAATAACTAGCTTAGGGTGGACAAGGCCATTCCTTTCCTCTCCTCTGGGCCATAGCCCTGGCCCCATCCCCAGGCCTTCAGAGAGACAGAGTGTGTGTTCCCATCCTCTGGTTCACTCCCTAAATGCCCACAAGGGCCAGGGCTGGGCCGGGCTAAAGCTGGGAGCCGGAAACTCCATCCAGGTCTCCCCTATGGGTGGCAGGAACTCAATTACTCGAGCCATCAGCACTACCTCCGTGATCTGTATAAGCAGGAAGCGGACGTCAGATCCCAGGTGTTCCAGTGTGGGATGCGGCTGTCTTAGCCAGTGTTGTGTTTTTGTTGTGGTTTTTTTTTTTTTTTTTTTTTTTTACAGGCAGAGTGGACAATAAGAGAGACAGAGAGAAAGGTCTTCCTTTGCCGTTGGTTCACCCTCCAATGGCCGCTGCGGCTGATCCGATGGCAGGAGCCAGGTGCTTCTCCTGGTCTCCCATGGGGTGCAGGGCCCAAGCTTGGGCCATCACTTCACTGCGCTCTCTGGCCACAGCAGAGAGCTGGCCTGGAAGAGGGGCAACCGGGACAGAATCTGGCACCCCGACCGGGACTAGAACCCGGTGTGCTGGCGCCACAAGGCGGAGGATTAGCCTAGTGAGCCGCGGCACCTGCCATAGCCAGTGTTTTAATTGCTTAGCCTAAATGCCTGCCCCAGGCTCACCATCTCTCACCCCGGAGAAGTGACTTTCCCTCACGGAGATGAGCCAAGAGCTGGTTGCATGGAGGGTTGAGGTGTCAGCTCTTCAGCTCAGCATAGTTGAGTCCAGAATTCCAGTTGTGCACCTGCTTCTTAGAACACCAGACTAAAGGATCTGGTTCCCGGGGATACACCGAACCGAGGTGGCCCATTTCTTCCTGTTCACCTGCATCCCTGACCTTCCCATAAAGAAGGCCCGAGCGAGCTGGTTTACTCCCACCCAACGTGGTGCACCTGTACCGGGCAGAGCTGTCCAGCCTCACCCTACGTAGGACCTAGGGTGTCACTTGCCTCCTCCCCCCACCCTCAAGAGGAGCTGAATAATGGACAAGCACTTGGAGACTGAGCCAGCCCAAGTTCTGGGATCCAATAGCCTTGTGGGTCTCACCATACTGGGTGGCAGTTTGTTCTGATGGTCATGTTGTGTGTCGGACAAGGTCAAGTGCTTCCTGAGGGTGGACATCCACTTCCACTGGGGCCCATAGTGTATTGAGAACCTGCAGGCTTGTGACATTCCTTGTGAGTCAGTGTGTGTGTGTGTGTGTGTGTGTGTGTCTCCGCCGCTGTCCTCACAGTGTGTCCTCAGAAAACACTTGTATCACTCCCCCGACGATGCTGTGCGTCTGGGCGCCAATTACCAGGTTCATCAAGACCATCACGAGAGCCTTCAAGCTTGCTTTCCGAGCAGTTGCATTTCTGGGAGTGATATCCGCGGGGCTCGGCTGCTCCTGGCAGCCTGCCAGGCGGTGGTGTTCTTGGAGAGAGAAGTGGCGTGGTGCCCGGCCTTGGTGGCACCGCGGGATTCCATCCGGCAGGTGCAGTCTGGAGCCCCTGCCGAGGAGGCGGCGGGAGGGGAGCAGAGCCTGATGGGAGAGCCCGGGCCTCCTCCACATTCCTGATCTGCTCCCTGTGCTGAATCACGTCTGCTCCCTCCACAAAGAGAAACCTGCCTTTTGAGAATCCGCCGCTCTGCTCTCGCCCGGCTGGGCTGGATCCAGGCGTTGTCTGCCGCAATAAAGAGGCAGACCGGTTCTGATGTCAGGGGCCTGTGTTGTTAGGGCTGCCAGGGACACAGCGGTCATTGTGTGGCCGGGCTTGACCGCAGGCCTGGTGGCTGGGCCAGCTACCCCGACCTCAGGGTCTGATGGAATAGAGACAGGGGACATTCTAGAACAAAATAGAGGGCCAGAAACTGCTGCTGTCTTGAGGAGCCCGGCCACTAGCCGTGGACGTCCAAGGTAAATGTGCCCTCCCCTGCCCGCTTCCCCAGTGTCATCTC